TCCCTCACCTGCTACTGCTGAAGTCCTGCCTACACTGACTGGTGGAATGGCGCTCTCTGATGCAGGTCGCTGAAGTGCAGTCCAAGCTATGGCGCTCAGGTAAGTCGTCCTCCAGCCAGCGGCTATGGCCTGTCTCTTATACACATCTAGATGTGTATAAGAGACAGGTGTGTGTGTGTGTGTGTGTGTGTGGAGGAAAAGAAGAAGAAGAAGAAGAAGAAGAAGAAGAAGAAGAAGAAGAAGAAGAAGAAGAAGAGGAAGAAGAAGAAGAAGAAGAAGAGCAGTGACTATGGAGGTTGGAGACACTATGGCGCCCAGGTAAGTCGTCCTCCCACCAGCGGCTATGGCTCTCCAGCCTCCGCTCTCCCACTGCCTCATATTCCCCTATCTCTAGTGCAGCGCTCCAGAAGTCGCATGCTGATCCAACAACGTGATGCTCACAATGTTGCCCAACTGAAAATCTCCCCGAAATGGACTGGCCCCCCACTAAATATAGTGTTCGGCCTGGCTGGGAAGCCCACGGTCTGCATCCAGGAGCGTCCAATCGAAGGCCCTGAATGCAGGCCCAAATCCTCCTCCTGGTGGTATCTTGCGGCTACAGCAGGTCCTACCTATTAGGGGAAAGTCCGAGGGGACACACCTGGAACCGACACAAATGGACCAGACAGCTAGACTCAGCAAATAAAGAGATAAATAAATGCTGAATCAAAGAAAAAAACAGCAAGACTCAAAAAGATAAATAAGGAAATAAATAAATGCTGAATAAATAAAAACAGCAAGACTCAGCAAAAACTGCCAAAAGGATAAATAAATGCTGAATCAAAAAAAGAACTTGTGTGGGGCAGAAAAACATGCCTGGCGGATGACAGGAAGGAGTGTTGGGACGTTACAAGGAGGGTAAGGCAAGCTGAAGGCAAGCTGGAAGACTTGGTGAGGGAGGTATGTGTATAGGTATTCGTTGCTATTGAAAACCGGAGTTAGACGTAGTAGACCAGAAAGAGGAACAGAAACAAGCGGCCTGAGAGACTGGTAGGAGCCCCCCCCCCCCCCCTGCCCCCCCCAGTGACTTTTCTGCTGCGTGACTGGGTGCTGCTAGGAAGCTTACCGCCGTTCCGGCCAGTAGAATCATCTCCGAGGAGGCTACAGTTTTGGGGGGTGGGACTCCGGGGCAATCCCCCCCTTGGTCTTTTTAAAAGTTTTTTTCCTTGGTCTGAAGACTCTGAAGAGTCTGAACTCTTGCTTGCCAGTGATAAGCAATCGGACTGACGCCCCCCAGAATAGAAGGGGCCTTGTGTTATTTTGGGGGGAAAAAAAAGAAAAAAGAAAAAAGAAAAGCATGCCTGGCCTAGAAATGGCAGTGGGCCTCCAGGTTGCACAGCCAAAAAAATGGTGTGAGGCCTGGGGCCCCTAACAACCGTCAGGCCCGAAGAAAAAGGGCCCATGTACAGGCCTCAGCATGCTGCAGAGAGTGTCAGAGGTGTTAGGCTAGCGTAACTGGGTTGAGTAGGAGAGTAGTATAAGTGGACACATCACAGTAGGGCTACTTCACTATTGTTGTATTGATTGTCGGAGGGGCAAAGAGGGTTTTCATTATCAAGAGACTTCAGTGTTCAGAGTGTTCTTGAATTGGTGTGATCTTGGCTTCGTCATTCTGCTTTCAACTCGGCTTATTCATGATTGGTCTTTTGTGAGCTTTTGCATCTTGAAGAGAGACGGTTAATGGAAGGCAAAAAACTCGGGGGTTTTCGCCGCATCACCACAAGCAATGTCAGTTTCGGTGAAAAAAATTCGCCGAATATGACACCACCTATTAACCATCAGTGCAAGTAGGTATTGTTGTGCCAGTGCCGGCGAGTGCACACAGGCAGTGCTGTCAACGATTTCGCCCAAACGGTCAACTCGTGTGCTGGGTAGAGAGATCATGGGTGGAAGGTTCCTGGAATATGTGGCAATGTGGTGAGTGTTTGTTGGTCCTTGCCGTTGGCGATGAGATCACAAATATTCCGAACAGCAAAAGACTCGAAGCAGAACCAGCATTTATGAGCAAAGTCAAAAGCAGAATTACAAACCCGAGAGCACGTACACACTGAAGTCTACCTTCTCGCCTCCACGCACCAATACAAAACAATATGATAGCTCTCCTATGCTGTCACCGCCTATACTACTCTCCTACACACTCCCTATAGACTCTCTCTCTCTCTCTCTCTCTCTCTCTCTCTCTCTCTCTCTCTCTCTCTCTCTCTCTCTCTCTCTCTCCCCCCCCCCCCCCCCCCACTCTAGTCTTGCCTAGCAATGCTGCAGAGTCTGACCACCTCGAGTGTGCACTTTGGTCATCACCAGGTAAGACCGCCTGTTCCCATCGCTGTCCTTCTCTGATCTCCCCAGCCCCAGCGCTCCCTTCATCCTCCTTGGCATAGCTATGGCTGCCGCCAAGCAGAGCAGCTAGTCTGCCACTGCTCTTCCCCTTTCCCCTTCGTCAATCCACTGGTCTGGCCGCTGATGCTGAAGCAAAGCTTGCGCTGGAAGCCAGTACCCACAAATGTATGGAATGCGCAGCCTCCACTCCTTTTGTTACTTCCAGGAGGCCGCGGCAGCCTCACTGGGATTGGGGCTCTTCCCAGTCTGAGAACCTTCCCAGCTGGGTACCTGGGCCTCAACCTCCAAATGCCTCATGCCTTCCTCCCCACTGTCCCCAGGTCCCTGACGCCATTTTACAGGCCCGGCCTTCACTCAGGGCCGAATCACATTTTCTCAGGTGGCCCCCCTCGGGCACCGTGGAGGCCTGATGCCTTGCACTTAGCTAGAAGTTGTCTGTATGGTAACTTCATGCAACATTGCTTTTTACTCCTTGGCACCTCGCTCGGGTCTTGCCTGGGCAGGGCCTTCCAGGCGGGTACCCAGGCAACCAGGTGGGGGTCAAGCGGCTCGGCCAGTAGCCTAGGAGTCCCCACCCAAAGAAGATAACAAGAGCCAGCAGAGATTTTGTTGCTTGATCTGGTCACTGCTGGTGTGTGTTACAGTGGCCAGGGATGTCACGGAGTTACAACACGGATCTCGCATCTGCTCAAAGTGGTCAGCTCGTTTTCATTGATCGCGAAGCCATGCCATAAGGAAGTAAAATCCAGGAAGAGAAAACAGACTTACCTTTGCAGAGGACTGATGCCACAACAGACCTCCGCCAAAGCTGTCTTTGCTACTCCACTCTTGAGCTGGAATAAGGGTGTGCAACTGAGTGGCCGGTACCTGTGCAGACACAATAACACTGCACAACAGGAGGGAACCAAACAGTCTCACTCCGTGAGTACGAAGGATTTCAAAGGTTGGCAGTTCTGGATATCCGTCCGGCGGATTAAGAACAAACACAAAACTGACCCCCCCAAAAAAAGCCAGCACAGAAACAAATTCCTCGAAAGTCGGAGTCCATTCTAGGAGTCGACAAGGCTCTGTAGGGGCTGTAGATTCGAACAGCAAGGTCCTTAATCCAGTAGAAAGTTACTAGAAAGTTACTAGAAACGAGATATATGATGTCTGCGTTCTCTGCTAGGATTGTTCAAGATCTGCCCATCCTAAAAAGTAGTCACACCAGTGGAACTGGGTCAACCAAGCGTTCTCGACACAAACGGCACGGAAATGTGTTCTCAGGCCAGGAAGAATCAATAGCGAGGCCCTACCTGGGCTCAGAAGTCAAACAGTCAAAGATTTCTCCAGAAAGCAGTTTTGGCAACAAAATCACAAAAATTCAAGGTCCCAGCTAAAGCTTCCAGAATCCAGATGCATCCAGGCCTAGGGGGTCAATGCTGGCCGCAGACAGAGGCTGCATCCGATCAGCTCACAGAATTTGAAATGAGCTGCACGTTCAGGCCCAGTCAGGCTGGACAGAGGAATATCTTCTTGCTGTCAATGCACTCGAGGGACATTCTGCCGCACTGGAGCTGTGTGCCTTGCACTGCAGCTGGGTGCCTTGCACTTGAGTCATGCTCCATGTTGCCTCGCTGCAGCCAGTGAGGAGAAGGAGAGATCCTGAGTGGGCAGCCATAGTTATAGCTGGTAGGGCAAGCAGCCATAGCATGTAGTAGCGACGTAGAAGGAGAAAGAGAGGGGCTGGACAAGCACTCACAGGAGAGAGAAGAGACCTGAGCGGAGAAAACGCTTACCTGCTGACTGGTGGCCATAGCCATGAAAAAGAAGACTCCACGAAGGTGTGATAGACCAGCATTCCTTTCCCAAGGTTTCTCCATTGGATGCTGAGCTTCCGGAAGTGGGAAGGGAGACTAGGGTGACCAACGGAAAAGGAGGGAGAGAGTGGCTGAGGGGGTCATAAAGGTGGAAGAAGCCATGGTCATCCTCAGGTAAAGCGGCACTGAAGGCGACTCCATCTTCCAGACGTGGGAGGGGAGACTAGGTTGACGAAGGAAAAGGAGGGAGACAGTGGCTGAGGCGATCATGAGGTGGAAGCCACCATATTCATTCTGGGGTGAGGTGGCATTCAAGAAGAAGGACTACAAGCGACTGGCATCCTTTATCCAACACTTTCTTCTGCAGGCACTGGCCTAATTGTGGTCTGGGAAGAGAGAGACCTGTGGATCATGTGGTGGAGAGGCATTAGAGTATCCCAGGTTTCCCCTTTTTAAGATAGCTCCATTTCTATTGGTGGGGAGCTCCACCTGCTGGAAATCGGGTCCAGTGTCCCAGGTTGGTGACACGCTTGATCCATCCGAGTAACCAGTATTGATTGCCTTCTTTTGAGGAGGGGATTGACTGGTTACCCCCCACTTGCACATCCTCAAAATATCACAAAACGTTTTGACAGCCTACCCACACTCTTTCCCTCCCCCTCATAAGCTTTCTGTAACCCACCCACCCACCCCATCTACCTCATTGTGCTTGCGGAGTCTTTCTCCCCTTCCTATTCCACTATCCTTTTTATTAACCCTTCCCTAAGACTTTTGCTTACAGGAGTTCCACACAAAACCGGCTGATGTTAAAGAGGGTCAGTAATCCTGAAGAACAGATGGGCTTCAGGTCAGGGGAGGTCTTATCTGGTTATGGGACCAAGAGGAAGTTGGTTGGCAGGTAAGGGACGTCGAAGTGCTGCAGCGTTAGTCTTTCCTATGCACGTTCCAATCTCCTCTATTGTTTCCAGGCTATGTTTCTCCTCTGATCCAATTCACAAATTTACTTTTTCGAATCTACCGATACTTCGTTAAAACTTGATGAAATCTCTTGTAGGGCTTGCTCTTCTTCTCGTGTTGGAGATGATGATCATATTTCAGGCTCCTCCAGGCTTGATATGTTGCGGTTCTGATAACCTCCTCAATTTCGTTTTGCACCTCTTGGAATCCAAAGCATTCTCTTTTCTTTCCTGCGAGCATCTAGTCATCCACACTATCATAAGCGTTGCTAGTTAGGTGTAGCTAAGCCGCTGCCTGATTGCTCTTCTGTCCCAGCAGGGTCACCTTTGCTCTCCAAGGCAGATGGAACCCAACTAGGAAGTGTCATGCCACATCCCACCATCTCTGGTGGAAAATCTAGACGATGTCCTGATATCTGTCCCAGCCGAACGACACAGTAGAATATTATAAATACCTCTTCCGTGAGGAGCGGCAATGGTCGGAGGCTCCTACCGAGGCGGTATGCATACTGTACGGTCACGCCTATCGGACCACCAGGCGCATATGCTGCAGCAACCAATTACGGCTGACGAGGTAAGGCTGGCTGTCATGGCACTCCCTAGGCCTAGATGTTGTGGCTTTGGAGATGTATGAGGAGCTGCAGCACACGTTGGTCGAACCCTTGGCTAAAGCATACAATCATGCTTTTCGAATTGGGGAGTTTCCGGAAGGCTTTGGGGAGGCATATGTTACACTTATTTTTAAGAAGTGGGCACCGGATGACATCCACAATTGCTGACCTATTGCCGTGCTTCATTCGGAATATAAGATCCTCTCTAAAATAGTGGCAGGGTGCCTGGCCTCTCTCATTCCATTCATCATTCATAGGTCACAGACTGGGTTGGTGCCCAGAAGGCAGATTGCTACATCCATCATGCTTGTTAAACAAGTGCTCGCGGTTGATGGACGACCCAACAACAACAACAAGCAGTGGCAATGTATGGCAGCACCAAATAATAGGTCTCTCCTCCACCTCCTGCTCTCTGCTCAACCTCCAAACGCCCTCCGCAATGAATCCCAGATCTTGAACCAGGGAGCTGGACTTCCACAACACTAACGTCAAGTCTCCAGTCTCTCTCTCTCTCTCTCTCTCTCTCTCTCTCTCTCTCTCTCTCTCTCTCTCTCTCTCTCTCTCTCTCTCTCTCTCNCTCTCTCTCTCTCTCTCTCTCTCTCTCTCTCTCTCTCTCTCTCTCTCTCTCTCTCTCTCTCTCTCTCGTGAAAGATACTGACCAGTGAAAGGCAGAGCCTTGAGCCGCTGATAACCTGCAGGTGCCTCAATGGAGAAGAAGACCAGCTATGGCTGGCTGCTGACCTCCGGGATATGGCGCCAGGTGGGTGTACTCCTCCAGGATCACCTCCTCTCTCCTCTAGCTCCTCTACAGCACTCTCATCCAACACTGCTCCTCTGCCTCCACCAGGACTAGGCTGCTCAACTGGGCACCCTGGAGGCATGAGAATGAAGTGAGAACCTACCTACCAACTGCTGGACGGACCTCTCCTAAATAGTGCTGGGCCGACCACCAACTCTAGCCGGCCTCCATCTGGGCCACCCAGTGTCACTCAGATCCGGCAGGAGGTCGTGTAGCCAAGACTAACGCCCAGGCCTGAAAACGTGCGGCCTGGGTACCTGCTGAGGTCCAGGCCTGCCCTTGCTGTCTCAGCAAGAGGGCCTGGAAGGAAAAACGGCTTGGCACAGAAAAAACGGACACAGGCCCAGCCTCAAAAGGAGCTGGGCCAGAAAACATGTGGTCTCGACGGAACGAAGTCCTGGCCACTCATGCAGGCCAGGACAAAACAGACTGGCGTGAAAGAAAACTGCACTGACAACAACACAATATGCAGAATCGAAATCAACGCAAACTGTCCCCTGGGGAGAAGGGGGCTTGAGCCTGATAGACTCGAAGCAACAAGTCACAGAAGCAGGGGACCTTGCTCTGGCTGCAATCACTTTTAGTGACTGCCTCGGCAGTGTGGCTGGCCTCGAAGGGAATGGACTCAATGGAGATCTCAGAGGAATGCACACGATGCCACTGGTGTGAGCGAATGGGAGCACCCTGGGACTCTCCAGTGGATCTATGTGGCCCACAGGTGTTCAGGGCAGTTCCGTGATCCGATATCTGGGAAGAACACGATAACCATGTGTTCCGTAAAGAAGGAATTCCAGATGTGGTCCTTAGCTAAAAATGGTGCAAGTAGGGCCAAGAGAGGATTACTGTCTTCACCCTGTGGCTCTCTTAGTAGCAGTGGCCATCTCACGGCCTTAAATGGTTCCTTCGTGATTGGGCCAAGAGAGGATTACTGTCTTCACCCTGTCGCTCTCTTAGTAGCAGGTTGACCGCCCAATGCGCCCATAGGCCCACAAACTTGGACCTTGTCCTTGCCAATTGGAAATGAACTACTATGCAGGCAGCAGGTATTAACATAGGTATTTTAGGAAGATGCATCAATTTGTCAGTTTGCATTTGGTTAGGGATGGCAGGTGGTTTCTTGGCTTAGTTGAAACAGTCCCCGGTGGCTTGAGCTTCATGTTGCTTGTTTGGAAAGCTTTCCGTAGGACGAGGGATACTGAATCCAGCTGCCAGCGCAAGCCGAAGCTGGGTAATGGCCTCAGTGGATACTCTCCGGGTTCCGATTTTTTTCATTTATTTTTTTTAAGCTGCCTTCTCCTCATTGGGGGACAGCCATATATTTTTCTCTCACCTCGCATATTTTTTAACTGGCATTCTGCCATGTCATGGAACATATCTTTCTTTCACTACCAACCACTATTCCTAAGGCTATACAGGGGATCCCGGCAAGCATAGCTTTCTACCTCTTCTCGGTGAAGAGAGGTTACCTCTCTCGGTGGAGAGAGATAAGGGCATGTTTGCCCCTTTGCCCTAGTGTTTAGGGTGCAGGGTTGGTGCCGCAGGTGGGGCCCCTGCTAACGCAAGGACCGAGCATTTGCCAGTGACCGTGCCTCCCTTCTCATCTTGAAGTTCCCCCACCCCCATCGAATAACAGCAGTGTCTAACGCCAACACTCTCACACACACCACACGCAACCCACTCTTACTAATACCCACTGGGAGGATCCAGCTGACTATCTCAGT